CTTGGTTGACCTGGCTAGCTAGGGTTTTAGATGGATGGAATTTAACTCAACAAGGCTCTTTTATTTCCGTAGTATCTCACAGGCACTGACGTATTGTCACATCTTCGATAGTCTGCCCTCAAGAGTCCTGCTAAACAACCTGTGCATTTTCGAACCGCTGTACCCAGAGATGTCAGAAACAGATTTCAGACCCCTCGTGAGCTCTTCAGAAGAAAGATGGCACAAGTGAAGACCTGCTTTCAGATTGCTGTCTTCGGGTTTTAAGCGTGGCGCTGTTAAATTGTGAAATTGTTTTGAGCAGTGTGGGCCTGTGCGTTTTTGTTAAAATAACGATCACCAGTGTATATTCAAGCTTGCAGCGAGTTTAGTCTCTGCCTGGATGTGTTGATTTGCTTTTAGACAATAGCAGTTTGAGTTGCGGGTCAGCACTTCTGTTATGGAAATAAATTTACTGCAGTGGGTTCTTTACTTACTGTATCTTTTTTTGTGTTTATTTTGTTTTTTTGAGGAGGTTTGTGAGCTCTTCTAATCTGTCTGAGGAGAGTGGGCTGAGCACTGTAAGATTTCTCCTGCTGAAGGTTATTTTTGATGAACTTCAAAAGGAGTACTTGCAGTGTCTTTGGAATGTGAGGTCTGGCCCCTGTCTCTGAGTGTCTCCGAGTGCAAAGCCTCGTCTTTATTAAAATAATGATCATCTGCATATATTCAAGCTCACAGTGAGTTAGTGCTCTGCCTGAATGATATGATGATCTGCTTTTAGACAATAGCACTTTGAGATTTCCCACAGGGATATCCGTGGGAAGGGCATCATAGTAATTAGTGCTGGTTGTAATTGTGGCAAATTGTAATTGTGAACTACAAGCATGAAATATAAAAAAATATACATACTGCATTTTTCTTGAGGTAAATGATCATGTTACACATAGGAGCGTTCAAAATGGTTCTGTACAGTAAACGATGTTTGGAATACTGATCTGCAGGATGCTGACAAGCAGTACCAATATTACCAAGCCTTTCCTCTTATTTTCATTTTGTTTTAATGTTTTTTTTTTTAAATACAATTAGGAAGACCATTACATAGTCATTAGCATTTGTGTTAAACCTTTTTGAAGTTTGAAGACTAAGGATTGGCACTCCATTGTGAAAATAGCTGAACCGGTTTTTTTAGGAATGAGTGTTCTGTTCATTTCTTCATACAGTACATACATGAAATTAGCTGCTTCTGTCTTTGCTCTTGGGGAAAATTAGACTGCAGGTACTGCACATGAACAGATCTTTCTGCTGCGTTCTGTTGCTCTTGTGGTGTGCTTATAGCCCAGCTTCTGTATCTGATACATTACAGATCTACACTCTTATTGATCACTAATAAGTGATCAACCTTTACACTGTCAAAAAAATAGAAAGCTGACTCCACAGTAAAATGTGACTTTCTTGTCATAAGTGTAACCATACACCATATATCTAGAACTCAGTCCCCCTACTCGTACAGATCTGGGGTCTTAAACACAGCTGTTTGAGATGTTTAGCAGAAAAAAGGGATCACTCTGCCATGTCTGAATGGATAAGTTTATACCCAGAATGTAAACTTGGACAGAAGGTTGTGTTCTATTTTTGACTTCCTCTGAAGGAAGCTTTAAAATAGTGGGGGTTAAAATAAGAAACTCTTTGAAAAGTTTGAAAAGTCTTCTGTCCAGCATCGAGCTCTCATTTATTATGTTTTCTTTTTTTTTTTTCCAGTGAGACTCATTTGATTAATTGCATGACATATAGAGACTATCAGGTGTGTGTGTTATAGTAACACTGGTGCATTGTACAAAGCCCCAGGGAAAAACTAAAAAACAGCCATAGAGCTTTTCAGCCTGTTGTCCTGTGAACCAAAGCTGGAGGAAAGTAGGCTACACCACAGAAACACATTTTTTTTTTGCCATTTTGTAGTTGTATAACAAGACTTTCTGCTGATTCAGAAGTGAATTCCTCGTTGAGCCTAGGAAGGCATGCTCATTTGAACTGTGGCTTTAAGCTGAGAGTGGCATGTTGAGTTAGGGCAGTTTTTTTTATCATAGATTGATTAATTTGTTTTATAGCACTAAAGTTTTTGTTGGTATTTTCTGTAGGGAAGTTTTGAATAGCATGCGTCTGGTGATAGTGTGAAACCATTTCTTTCTAAAACTTGTGTAGTTTACAGTCTTTATTTGTGCCAAGAGAACAAAGTTATCCTTTTCCAAAGGATTAGACAGAATGAAAGGTCAGCAAAAAACACTTGGGATGTACACAGTTGCAGTAGTTGTTTTTTTAAGATAATTAAAAAATTAATTTACAGCTGGATTTGTACTTTGCCACATGACTTCATGTTTGCCCCCCACTTAGTGCCGCACTCAAAATACAGTGCAAAGTTTTAGTGGGTTACTGAGTAAGGAGTTCCACATGTGCTTGATATACCCATACCTTAACTTCACCAGGGCGGAACTGACAGTCCACACGTTACCATTTGTATAATCGCTCTCTGCTTTTTGAACTTTTGAAATATTATAACGGGGGGTTTTATGTGTTCCCTCGAAATGTTTACAAACTTCCGAGACTCTTCCCAGCTGTGATTGACTGAAACAAAACGAGATGAAGGGCCCCTTGATTTTGCCCTTGTTGGCTGTGCCCCCGCGGCCTGCCAGATTCCCTCCGCACGTCATCTGTGTCCTCTCCCCCATGCGAGAGTCCTCCCTGTGGACACTCAGGCCGCGCCGTGTGGCGTCGCGGCTCCTCTTGAACTGTGCCGGGTTCCCTGCTGTGCAGCCCGGCACCTGGCTGGCCCTCGCGCGGCTCCGTCCGGTTCTGCTTCTCGGTTCTTCACATCTTGTTTACAGGGGAACTGCAACGCTATTTTTTATATTCTGGGAGTAGAAGGAATGAGCATTGTCGAGTGCATGTCAAACCAAAAGTAAAATTTGAAAGTAAAATGTCCACAGTAACGTGTAAACCTCCTATTAACGTGACGGAATGGGTCACGTTTCCAGGTACGCACAGCTCCAAGTTCAGCGGTTCAGGACATGGCTGCACAAAGCTTCCCCTGACGTGTTGAAGCCTTGTTGCCTTGTGAACAAGCGTGCTTGAGAACACCTCTCTCTCAATCCAGGAGAAATAGTGCTTTCGGTTTCGAGACGGCTTTGCCAGCAAATGCTACTTGACTCCACATGCAGATCATGTTGGAACATTTCTGCCGTGAAGTGTCTGCTGCACAACGTGTCCTTGTTCATTCTGACGTTACATTAGTCATTCCAGTGACTAGTGAGCAGGAACGCTGCATCACGTCATGATTTGTGGGAACTCAAATGCGAGTTTGAGACGTGGAATTACAATACTTTCACAAAGTTCACAAGTTTGTGCTTATTTTGAAATGTCATTTTTTTTCTGTGACATCAATGAATGTATTTCGTTACCGAGATTTAATAACCGGTAGTCAGTTTCCTTTGGCTCATTCACAGGTAGAGGAGTCTGTCGGCTTACTGACATTATCGTACAGTCATGTTGTAAGTAGCTGTAGGTTATTAACTACTGTAATTTGTTGAAAGTCTGATCAAATTCGAATTCTGCTTTACCATCGGAGAATTATCCAATATTATTATCAAATGAAATTGATAAAGTTCGTCAGGGATAGTGCATCATCAGTCTGTGCCTTGGCCAAAACCGTCCTGTAGTGTGAATGTCCTTTCTATTCAGTATGGGAAAATACCTTAATATATGTATAGGCATGGTTTTGAATATTGCTTAACATGATTTCTGAAAAGGATAAGTGAATACTTTTCTCTTTGGATTATCTGCATAAAATAAACTTTTCATTCCTATAAATTATCTTTCCTGAAAAAAGGACAGTTGTAAAATAGAAAAAGATATTAAGGACCTTTGAAGGTCAGTGTAGCGAGGAAACAGATCTGTGAGAAAGAAAAATGGTGAAACTGACACTGCAACCATCTTAACTGTGTTGTGTTTGCAATCCTAGAATGAAACATTAAATGTTGTTGAAACTTGAGAATAAAGTTGAGACCAGTCTGAACTGTTGATGCTAGTAGTCTATAAAGAGGTTGAGTCGGGAAAGAGCCCTCCAACTTAACTGTCTGTGTACATCGTACCGAGCAAACTGTTTCCAGCTAGTTCAAAGACTGAGATTGTTAGATAATGTGCATACCAGAGTTTTAAACAATATTAATTACATTAAGTGAATTATAAGTACTGTGTGTGTCAGAAGCCATAGAAAGATCTTTATCTTTCAATTAGGTTTGTGGAAGTAAGTGTCCCTGTGGACATTTAGAATATGAACCTTTCTTTGGCAGGTGAAGAGGTAAAGAGGTTGAGTACATTTTGAATTTGGTCGCCTATATGTGTAACAGACCTATTTTTTAAATTCCACACTAACTTCGCGAACTTGGTCATAAACATCCAGAAGCACATGTACAGTGCAGTCCATAAGCATTTGGACAGTGGCACAATTTTTCTTGTTTTGGCTCTGTACTCCCCTATACTTACTTTTGGTCCCCTGAAATGGGGGGACTATATACAAAAAGGGCAGATTCCTATATGGTTCATCCAATATAGACATAAATCCCCTTGAATTATAGCTGACATTCTGCACTTTACCCTCATAGTCCTCGTTTCATTGCAAATCCAACGTGCTGGAGTACAGAGCCAAAACAACACAAACTGTGTCACTGTCCCGATGCTTACGGACTGCACTGTACTTCTCGCCTGTGGATGGAGGCGATGGACCCCGAGTGAGCTCCGATTTCTCATCTCCATGGGAGACCGGAAGGAAGGGTGTTGATATTTAGATGAGACAAATTGTTCCTTTCATTGCTTTGTAGGTGAACATTTCTTTGAAAGCAATTAAAACAACCTTTTTTTTTTTCTTGTTTGCATTATTTGTGGCATAAATCGGGGGCCCCCCCTCGCTTTTCAGGACCCGGGGAAGTGTGTGCAGCAGGCCTTGACCTGACTCGCGCTGTGTTTTACAGAAGATGCCCGAGCGCTGGGAGGAGTGCTGCCGTCACTGAGGCCTCACACCGCGGAAAAGAGCGATCGGTCCTGACCTGGCAATACACGAATGGCCCAGGCAAGCCAGCAGATTGACATCCAGGTTTTGCATGACCTGCGCCAGAAGTTCCCTGAAGTACCCGAGGGTGTCGTGTCCCAGTGTATACTGCAGGTGAGCGAGCGCTTTGTCACCGTTGTGCTAGTCTCATGGTTGCGGTGAGTTTTTTTTTTTTTTTAATGCCATTGGAAGCTGAGGGCAAAGATTCTCACACGTGTGCCGTATTTCCTCTCCTCCCCTAGAACAACAACAATTTGGATGCCTGTTGCGAGTTCCTGTCCCAGGTGAGCACGGCGTACCTGTACGGCGAGGGGAATCTGCACTTCTCGGACGACTCCAGCCTCGCGGGACTTCGCAATCACATGACACAGCTGAACCTGGGGCTGCCGTCTCAGAATGCGCATCAGCCCTTGCTGCGGGACGGGGCGAGAATGAATGGCAGCAGAACTCTGGCCCACAGCCTCAGCGACGGGCCCCTTCAGGCAGGACAGCCCAACAGCGAGTTTTTCCAGCAGGAGCCCCAGTCGGCCCCCGTGCAGGTGCCCTCCGGCCTAAGCGTCTTTGGCGTCATGGACACGACCCGGAACCCGCAGCCGCCTCAGCACCTCGGACTGTACCAGCTGGGCGGCAAAGGACACTCCATGGGCTCTCAGCAGGCACCCCGATTTAACCCCATCACCGTGACGCTGGCCCCCAATATACAGACTGGCCGGAACACTCCCACCTCTTTGCACATACATGGCGGGCCGCAGCCTGGCCTGAACAGCCCACAGGGTAACTCTATCTATATTAGGCCTTACGTTACTCAGTCTGGTACAAGCCGCCAGTCGCAGCAGCAGCAGGCAGGCTGGCCTCCGCATGGCCCCAGTTCTCAGCAGCAACAGGTCTACCAGATCTCCCACCCTTCACAGCTATCTGGCACATGGACTGTCCCGTCGCAGTACAGCTCCTCACATACCTCACCGCACCAGTCGCAGGCCCACCAGACGTCTCACGTCTACATGCCCATCAGCTCACCCACGACTCCTCAAGCACCGTCCTTCTTCCAGGCTCCCCCTGGAGGCCTGCCCTCCTCCTCCTCCTCCGCTTCCTCGAACGCGTCCTCTTCCTGCGCTCCGGGCCCTTCGTCCTTCAGCCAGTACAACATACAGAACATCTCCACTGGGCCGCGCAAGAACCAGATCGAGATCAAACTTGAATCGCCCCAGCGGAGCAACTCGACCACCACCACGGCCGTGCTGCGCTCCGGTGGGGGGCCGGGGGCGGGCTGTGGGCCCCGGGCCTCCCCCGCCGCCCCCTCCCCTTCCTCTTGCTCGGCGGCCTCCGGTTCCTCGTCGGTCACGGCCCCCTTGTCCATCTGCGGCCCCTCCCTGAGTCGCAGCCAGCCCACCGTGTACATCGCCGCCAGCCCGCCGCCCGCCTCCACGGCGGGCCCCGACGAGGCCGTGATGGCTTGCTCCGGCTCCCGCTCCCAGCCCAAGTTCTACATTTCGGCCAACGCGGCGGGGGACGACCCCGGCGGCCGCAACCCGCCAACCCTCTACATCTCGGCCAACCCCCCGCTGCAGGGCCCCACGGGGCCAAGGACCTTGACGGGCCAGGTGAGCATGGGCCCCGCTTACATCCACCACCACCCCCCCAAGTCCCGGGCCTCCGTGGGCGGCTGTGCCACAGCCACCTCCCCCCGCGTGGTGGTCACCCAGCCCAACACCAAGTACACCTTTAAAATCACCGTCTCCCCCAACAAGCCGCCGGCCGTTTCCCCGGGGGTCGTGTCTCCCACCTTCGAGCCCACCAACCTCCTCAGCCTGCCGTCGGATCACTTCGCCGAGCCGGAGGCCCACCACCTCTCGGACCCGCTGTCCGCGCACCGGGACAGGCCCAGCGAGGTCCGGCGGCTCAGCATGGGCTCGGATGACGCAGCCTACACGCAAGGTAGGAGCC